GATGCAGGGCAGCACAAGGGACCATAAGCCGTGGGATTTCCCCTGTGAGAAGGGATGATGTTCAGCAGACAGGGCACAAGGGCTACTCACCCCCGCCCCCGCCCCGGGGACTCAGCTCGGTCAGCCGGCAGACCCCGGCACGCCGCCGCAGCCCAAGGAGCAAGGTCGGCACACTGCCGCCGCAGCCCAAGTGCCCGGGTTAAGAAGGAGCCACTAGAAGCAAAGACTGTGCCTCATCCCGACTGGAAGTTGGCTCATGTGCCCCAGCCTGGCGCTCTGCCCTTTCTGCCCCCAGCAAGGGGGACAGAGGTGCCCAGACCAAGGGTGAAGGGCTGGGCTCAGGAGCGCTTTAGAGGGCCAGACCCCCCTTCCTCACAAACCCAGACGTTGCGAAACCAGTAAATAGTAGCCAAGTCAAAGGCCACGTTCGCTACATCTTAACCACATCTCTGGCTACAGTGTGCACTCGGGCTGACCTTTTCAATCGCTCGGAGCGGCTTTCGGTGCACTAACACACCCACCTTCTCCCCTCCGGGGCCCCAGCGTGAACAGCCCAACAGTGAGTGTGAGATAACACCTCTTAAAGCAGAAAAGCCATCCAGTTCCAGGGCGGATGGGACTCTGGTGTTTAACCCCCACGGTACCAGGACTGGAATTCCTCAGCCAGGACGGAAGCTGACTGTAGACGTCTGCCTGCCTGGGGAGACCTGTGAACTTGGCTGCTGACCTCTGCCTGGTCAGCGTCTCCCTGGGTGTCTGGTCTGTGTCCTTCAAATAACTGCCCACCCCACCCCCACCGACCCTGTCCAAGAGGGGGGACCTTTCCCCAGGTCAGCCCTGAAAAATGCGGCTCAGAAACCGGACTGTTACGACTAAACCAGGTCGTCCTTGGCTAATTAGCTGGCAGATCTGACTCATTCTCACTCCGCAGGTTTTGTCCTCTCTACGGTTTCAGAGCAGTTGCGTTTTATAACGTCTCATTTTTGGTTCCCTACCTGAGCTGTCGCAGGTGTGATCCTGTATGGCTCCTCAGGGTTGTTCTCTCTCTCTCTCTCTTTTTTAAAAGAGAGGTTGCCTTCAAAGGGCTGAATGTAATTTTGGGACTGTATCGGTGTAACTACTCCTTAACTGTTAAGGAGTTGAAATTACACTCGGCCCTTTGAAGGCAACCGAGAGGCTGCTGTGGCCCCTGGTAAGAATGAGTTTGACGCCCCTGCCGTATATCCATCCATCATCCGTCCACCCTCCTTCCATTCATCCACCCATCCGTCTCTCTCCAGCATTCGTCTAATACGTATGCACCTCTGCCGTGCATCAGATATTCTGCCAGGACTGGCAGGGTCTTTCACATTTTCGTACTGGCCACCATGCTCAGAGCATAGGAAGATTCAGAAAACACGTATTATTTGACATTAAAAATGCTATTTTTTGGTGCCTTTAGCCATGAAAGGGTAGGAACCAGAAAAGCTTTTAGTTTTTCTCTTCCAAAGGCTGTGTTTGTTGGGAAACTTCTGGATCCCTTACCCCAGCTTAGGAAGATAAATGAGTAAACTTTCCAACATGAATTCACTGTTCAAAATGCAACATGATTTATGCCCTGTGTGTTTATTGCTCAAATAAGCACAATCTGAATGGATTGCATGATTATCTCAAGGCAGAGTTAAGTCCAGATAATTGTGTTTGTCCTTAATCATTTTTTTACCAATTCATCTCCACCCTGAGATGATTCATACAGAGCCTGTCATGGATTCTTTAAAGTAAATGAATAAATAAAGAGACACAGAAAGGAGGGAGGACAAACCAACACCAAAATAAATAAATACATACTTTCTCTCTCTCTCTCTCTCTCTCTCTCTCTCTCTCTCTCTCTCACACACACACACACACACACACACACACACCTGAAAATTTCAATTTGTTTGAGGACAAAGAACCACATTTTGGGCTCAGGGCCAAGAGCAGTCCTGGTGGTCTCCCTGGAGGAGGCAACTCCCAGGATTTCTTTTCTGATGGGAGTGCATGCTCCACAGAAAACACTACAGAAGCTCGGTGAGTGGCAGCAGATAGAACTCCCTCAGGTTTACTCTGACTGTCCTTTCCGTCCTGACTTTATCCCCCAGCAGTGAGAAACCTGGCCCTCTCTCTCCAGTGTACGCATCCACATGTATGTTCATTCACCCCAGCGCACTCCTGAAGCCATTTCAGAATGGCTCGCCCACCCCTTGGAGAAACTCACGGACTCACCAGACATCAGCAGTTCCCCTCTCTGCAGCTTTGTGGAATCCTGTCAAAAGACGGTTTTCAGAAATTTCTTAAGTTGGTTCATTTCTTCCTCCACCCCCCATGTGATATTATGCCTTGTTTGTAATAGGGTTCTGTCCTATTGCTAGGACTTCGACTCCATTCTGAGTTCCCCCACACCCCGGTTGTCTTTCATTGTTTCTCTTATTTGGGGGGTGTTTTAAGAATATATAAAACCCTATTATAATCTAAAACCGGATGTCATACCAAAACAATCCACCTAGAGAAATGGGACTCCTCCCTCCTTCCAGGTACCTCGGTCCCCACACCCCTTCTCTCCACTGTCCCCTGTGCATAACCAATTTCTGGTTTCTGGGTGGCACTTCCTGGACTTCTTTTATTCGCAAATGAGATGTGTGTGTGGTTTCCTATATCCCTTTCTTACGTGATGGATCTCACACTAGGGGGCTTTGCACAGCTCCGGCGTGGGAACCACTGTCATCCATTCATAAAGACCTCCCTTTCTTTTCACAGCTGTATAATATTCCATTGCATGGTCGTGCCATGATTTCCTCAACACACGTTGCTCCTGATACTTTGTAGTTACAAAGCTGCAATGAATACAACTTTCTGCACATGTGTTTCTGTATCAGGAGAGGTGGATCTTCTAGGGTGTGGTCTGGGTTCAAAGTTAAGTGTGTATTGAATCAGGTATTGCCAGATTTCCCTCTGAAAGGATCATACACCGATTAGCATGCCCACCAGCAAAGCATGAGAATGCCCATCTCCCACAGCCTCACCCCCCACAACGTCATACTGTTTCCTGTTTATTCATTTGAGAGAGACAGACAGAGAGACACATTGACGTGTTGTTGCACTTGTTGATGCATCATGGGTTGATACTTGCACGTGCCCTGACTGGGGGTTGAACCCACAACCTTGGTGTCTTGGGACGACACTCTAACGAACTGAGCTACGCAGCCACGGTCCATGTCGTCCTTTTCCTGCCGTCTTTTGTGTGTCTGTTTTTGGCAAGTTTCACAGATAAGAAGTAAGTCGGTACCGTTTCAATTTGCGTTTCTCCAGTTTTGCCTGCGTCTCGGACCTTCTCATGGGTCCCAGGGCTATTTTAATGTCCTTTTAGAGACTCATTTGTTCGCGCCTTTCCTCACGTGTCTGTCATTGTTTGGCCTTTTGCAACATTAATTTCAGAGTTCTTTACTTGGTAGAGACCTTAGCCAGTTGTCCACGGGACGTGCTCTGAATGTTTTCTCCCCATCCCTCAGTTGTCTTTTGTTTGTGATGTCTGATCATGCACTTTTTAAAAAATTTATATGCAGTCAGATTTATCGCTCCTTTATTTCCTCACTCCTGCATCTTGAGTCGCCCTTCGGAGCCCTTCCCCTGCACAAATCAGGGAGGATGTCAGCCTCACTTATGAAAATAACAGACGGTAAAATCATACACGTGGCAGGGTTTGCTCAAGTTCCTGAGGAACCTGGACTGTTACACATCCATTATTCCCCCAGCTGCCGGGGCTCTCAGCTGGCCCCTGCCCTTGTCACCCCTCACCCTGTGCTTCTCCCCCCGCCCACCTCCCGGTTTCCCTGGCCAAGGCACACCCAGGACACCACCATCTGAAACCACTGGGCAGTGCAGACTCTCTCCCTTTCCCCGGGCTTTCAACTCAGGCGGATTCCCTCTCGTCCGAGCAGGACCGTGAACCATATACTTTAGAATTTCCAACTGACCTGAGCCCTCCATCCACACGTCCTTACCCACCTCCCCTGCCTTCACTCTCGCCTTGTCTCTCTTGTTCAGCAACTACTTTCCCAAAAGCCGTCAATCACACTCTCTCTGCAGATGAAGGAGTACATTTGTAGCTGCGTCTCCCACTTAAGAAGCCTCATGGCCGCATGGCAGGGGGCTCCCTGACCGAGGCCGGCCTGTCCTGCAGAACACGGGCAGAGCCCTTTGTGGGGAACGCGTCTTTGAAAGCAACAAGAGCAGAGTCTTCTCTGTACATTGTAGACGGCCATGGCTACAAAGTATCCTGAATAGCTGACACTTATAAAGCTGTCGGTTATTTCTTTTTTATGTTTTCATTAGGACCCTTAAAGGACATAGGAAGGATCTTGTCGGCGTGGTATTTTGCGTGTAATAAATTAAGAATGAAAAAATGTAAGCGATGTTTGAAAGGAAAAAATATTTCTCTTACTTATGTATATATCTATAATATATAGATACTATAGATACAGATATATAGATAATCATTATTACTCTCTCTCTCTCTCTCTCTGGAGAGCTATGACACAAGCCAAAAGGTTGACTCTGTCCTCAAAGCCACTCATTTCAGAAAGTCACCAGGGCCTGGCATTATGCTTAGAAAACCAGAACAAAAACCCATCTTCCAGGGAAGCCGTAGACGGAGATCTGAATTATGAAGATTTATTGCTGCAGAGCTATGCATTTCGACTGTGGATTCGGACTGTTCTGAATATGTTCAAACTTGATCCACAGACTCCCCTGTGTGTCCTCTCGGTGGGTGTCGGCCGTGTGGGGGTCGGTGGATCTGGGCGCCGTCAGGTGACGCACACGCATCCAAAGGAACCTGGTGGACTTGGAGGCGGGTTATTTAACTACAGCCCTTGACTCTGATGCAGAGGAAGGGGAGGGAGCCACGCTCAGTGGGAGGGTTAAGTCACAGCCCCTTTAATTCTTGTTCCCCACCGTTTCGCTCTGTTTGTTCTGTTTTCCAGGGACCCTCAAAGCCTAGACCCCCCGGAGGTCAGCAACGCGAAGCTCCAGTACGCCGGGTGGGGGCCCAAGGGGCAGCAGCTGGTAAGCAGACGGCGTTCGGGGGGCCCTGTTTTGCGCTGGGTGCCACCGGCGTTTTACACCCCGAACTTGTCTCACACTCGTCGGCCTGTGGGTGGGCAGGACGCGTGGATAAGTGCACCAGGGCGTCTGCCCATGTCCACGTCTGTTTCATTCTGGGGGGAGAAGCCTCTTAATTCTGGAATCACCTTTGCTTTGGGGTCCACACCCTCTCTGCCCAAACAGCTGTGGGCACAGCTTATGGGTCTCTTGGGAGTTCTGAGCACCCCATCATTGAACACCCTGCAGACAGGGTTACCAGGCTCCTGGGGCCCTTGGAAGGGTCTTTGGTGTTGCTCTTGGAACTCAGGTGCTTTTTGGGGGGTGTTGATGAGGCAGGCAGCTCTGTGTCCCTGCGGAGCGCGGCCCCCCGAAGCGGCCTGGCACACGGTGTCACCCGCAGCTGCAAGGCCTCTGGGGCTGCGCCCCACACCTCTGCGGGGTCCTGCTCAGAGGGACAGAGCCCAGGTGCTTGGAGTTTTGGGGGGACAGGGTGGTGCAGGGGTGTCCAGCCTTGTGGCGCCTCTGGGTCACCCTGGAAGAAGAAGAGTTGTCTAGGGCCACACATTCAATACATTGTGACACGTGGTCGCAAAAAAATCTCATCGTGTTTTAAGTAAATTTATGATTTCGTGTTGGGCCGCATCCACAGACATCCTGGGCCGCGTGCAGCCCGGGGGCTGCGGGTGGGATGCCCCTGGTTGCCAAAGGCCTCTGAGGGAGGCGTCAGAGGGTGCGGGTTCTGATCCTGGTGCGGACTGACTGCCGGGGGAAGGGGGGACTTGGCTCACGCAGGGTTGAGGCCGCCGTCCGCGGCCCGCTTCTGAGAGAGAGATTTGGGGAAGAGGCCCTCCCACGCCTGTGTGGGCTCCACCTTGGAGCGTTTGAGACGCACTGTCCACCCTGTGCCGCTTGGTTTTACAGTCGCCGCCCCTCCCCCTGCAGAAAGTCTCCACTGTTAACTCACTCTTTTCTCCCAAATGTTTAAGCTGATGGACAAAAGCTGCATTTGAAAAAAAATTGCGTTTTTCTAAAGTAGCACAGACGTGATCATTTTTCTAATCTCGGAGCGAGATCGTACGGCCTAAGGTCTCTACTGCCCTAGACCTATTTACCTCAACCAGACGGTTCTATTTTCTCGGTTGCCCGTGAATTCCAGTGGCTCAAACTGATGGAAAGGAACAGAGGTAGAGAGGCCACCAAACTGTTGTAGCGGTCACTACATTGTCCCCTATGCTAAAAAGGCACATCGAGCTGCCTGAACTGAGAGTGTCCAGGAGGACAATTGAAGGAGGTTACCTTTCTTTCTGACACATCAGCGGCAAAAAGGGCGAGGGTCACGCCAGTGTGTCCCCCTCTACGCCCAAGACAGTGCTTTGCCGCCTTGTGCGTGAGTCGTGAAGGGTCCAGGACACTCCACACTCCGCACTGAGGGTTTTGTGCTCACACCGGCTCACTTCCAGAAAGAGAAAATGCTTTTTCTTTAAAGCGTTTGGGGTTCCGCCTTGCAGAAAAATACTTTTTTCAAATGTCCCGTCAATGTGGTAAAAATTCATGCTGCTGAAATGTCAACTGTTCGACCTGAGATATGAGATGAAAAGATTGTTCTGGAAACACCGACACGCTTTGTTCGGTGGGTCAAAGGGCAGAGGCCCCAGACCTGAGAGAGCCTCTGTGTCCTGTACCTCCCAGGTGTGGCAGCCCCGTGGGGACCGTCAGCTCCCAGGCGACAGCGAGGTGCAGACAGAAGGGCCGAGCGGGCGCCGCGCACCCTGCAGCCCCGAGCCAGGGGGGGCGGGAGAGGCGGGGGGGGGGGCAGGTGCAGCCAGGCCACCTGCCACCGTGTTGGGTTGGGACGGCAGAAACCAGGGAACCAACCCGACCGTGAACCCAGAATCCGGTCCATAACACCATGCCGCCCTCAGCCACATCACTGGTCTCAGAATCCAAAGGTGCCGACTTTGAACTTGAGCAGAAGAAGAAAGTTGTGTTGTGTGGCTTCTGTTTTTCCAGGGCCGTTAACAACCACAGATTCGGAGCCAAAGGGGAACATTCAGGTCTTGGTTCCTGCAGGTGCTGAAGGCGCAGTGGCGTCACGGGCGGGGGTGATACCGTGAACCACGCCGGGGCCACCGCATGGAATTAGCTCATCTGTTCAGACTCCGTGCCACGGGGCCACGTATAAGAAAAGTGCTCAGTAAACAGTGTTTTTTATTGTTGTTGTTGCTGTTGGGATTATTACTTGGCTGAACCCACATGTAGAGAATGAGGAGAAAAATAGGAATCGTATCCGATGACAGTTGGGCGAGGCTCTGAAGGGGACAGAGGCTGCCCTGGGCCACACAGGACACACGGCGGGGACTGGAGGGCATCCAAGGGGCTCGGTCTCTCCTCCGAATCCCCTCCACCTCGGAGGGGTGCTGTTCGGTAGGTGCACCGCCAAGCCCCGTCCTTCGAAGTCCTCAGCCTCCCGTAGGTCTGCATGTGTCTGTCCCTTTGGGTGACAGCAGTGTCCCCTGCTCTGCTGCCAGCCCCGAGAGACTGTTTCTCATAAACCGCCTGGACGTTAGACCCCAGAGCGTGCTCGTGTTCTAACTGGCAGCTCTGCCCTTGAACCAGCACCTCCCCCTTTCCCTTCCTCCGCTCCCCACCCCCACCCTGGTGACCTCCATTCTGCTCTCGGTTTTTACCAGTCTGGCTTTTTCGACTCCACCCGTCAGTGAGATCACACAGCGTTTGTCCTTCTCCGGCCGACTCGTGACGTGGTGACTACGTATCGGATGGAAGTGTCAGCTGGTGCAATGGTGGTGACCGTTTTGTCACACTTTCAACTTACCCACTGTTACAGTCACATCTCATTAAAGCTGGGGCGGGGGCCCTCCCATAAAGCAGAACACCCAGTCCCAGGGCCCAGGGGTCCGTCTCCCCCCAACCCCCCCGCCCCGGAAAGCCACCAGGGAACTGCGCCAAAATGGGGCGGACGAGGTTCCCTGGGCCGCACCGTCCCCAAGGGCGCAGCCGCTCAGCTCATTGGAAGTGACAGAGGGGGCAGGGAGCATCGTGTCAGCGTCGACAAATCCACCGACGGGGGCGAGATTGATTTTTCCAGCAAGAAGAGGTTATTTCATGAAACACCGCATCCACCGTGAGGCCCAGGCTGAGGTGGTGTCCCATTAATAACTTATAAAGGCCTCTAATCAGTTTGGGTTAATTTGGTATTCATTGTAAAAACATTCATCACGGCACTGAAGTCCCTGACAGCAGCCACAGAATTAATTCCCAGGGACGGAGACCGCCTCACGGGTCCTCCAGTTACGGGCAGAGCTGGGGTGGCCGCTGAGCTGATGGCCAGGGCGCCCTTGTGGCATGGACACAGCGCGGCACCAGCCTGGGGCCCTGGGGGAGTGGGCGGCATCCATGGTCCGCTGCACTCAAGTGGACACTCAGTTTTGGGGATTAACCTGGTCGGACGGACAGGCCGGCATGGCCCAGCCACCCGCCGCTCGTGGCTACGAAACAAGTGGAATTAGGGCGGACGGTGGGGCTCTCTGCTTCCACCCAAAGGCACTCTGAAGAGCAGGGATGTCACAACACAAAAAAGCAGCCCCGGCTAGTGTGGCTCCGTGGATTGGGCACAGGCCTGCGAAGCAAAGGGTCACTGGTTCCATCCCCAGTCCCTGGGTTGCGGGCCAGGTCCCCAGTCGGGGGCTCGAGACAAGAACCACACATGGATGTTTCTCTCCCTCTCTTTCTCCCTCCCTTCCCCTCTCTCTAAAACTAAATTAAATCTTTTTAAAAAACATGACAAAAGTACGCAGAAAAAGTCAGGAAGACATTCCTACACGGGGACAGACAAAACGACACGAAGAAAGACATTAGCAACGTCGCCTGTAATAATTCTGAAGGCTGGAAATTCCCTCAGGGCGTCTAGCGGGTGGTTTGGGGAAGTATCATGTGTCCGCAGGAGGAGCTATCACACAGCCCTCAGACATAGTGGGACGGCTGCCCTGGCCGGGTGGCTCGGTGGGTTGGAGCATCGTCCAGTGCACAGGAAAAAAAGGTTGCGGGTTCGATCCTTAGTCGGGGTGGGTATGGAAGGCAACTGATTGAAGTTTCTCTCCCGCCTCTTCCTCTCTGTCTAAAATCAATAAAATCCTCAGGTGAGGATCTCAAGCACAGACAGGCCACACAAACACAGGGGGGATGTATCCTCCAGCCAGTCACACTAACACCAAAAATACTCTGGGGTGTGATGCCGTGCGGGGGGAGATCACTGTTTTGGCCAGGCCAGACTTAGGGGCATTTCCCCCACCTCTGAAAGTTCCTTAAATACAGCCACCCTGTAGTTTCCTTAAAAACGAAAAAGAAAAGGACATTTGTCGTCGGCAATGAGTTTTAGGAATTCCACTCAACAGACATGTGCTCCAGCCACACAAGGGGGAGGGTGGGCTTTTGGGGGGGTCCAAGCGCCTTGCAAATGTGACCTTTCTCCCCATCTGGGCTGCAGCCCACAAGAGCTATTTCTCAGAAATCACTAGGAAGCCAAAGCCAGGCTGAGAAGCAGGTGGACTTAGGGTTGAAATTGGGACCCAACCTCGCTGCGAACGATGGTCTGAGGGTACGCTGTGCTCTCCACCTCCCAGCACCCCTAATTCGATTGTGAGGGAGCAGTGTATATTATTTCTTAGGAAGAATCTAATTTAGGAGGGTGCTCGCATCAGCCTGGGTGATATTAAGTTACAGAATTTCAAGATAATCTATCAAATGAGATTTAAAAACAGGACCAGAGTTCCCTGCATTAAGGAGCAGCGCCTTCCATGATAGATTCCTGGGATAATGTAACAAGGCAGTCATAAATTAAAATAACCTTTTTAGACACTGGGGCGGAGGGTGGAGGCCGCAGTTACATTGTAGCCCTGGGCAAAACCGACCCTGCCACCTGCGGCCAGAGCAGGTTCCAGATG